CAGCGATTGAAAGGATTATGGTGACAAGACATTTGGAGGGTAACAGTTTTTATTCTTGTGAGAATTGAAAATATCCCATTCAGTGGACGGGAAGGACGTTTATGAACAAACGTTTAATTGTAGAACAGGCATGACATTCTGTCTTGATGCAAATATGTGCACGTGATTTACTGTTTGCTCGTCATTTATTATTCATGTCTGGTGAAGGAGCTACGCTCTGAAAACGTTTACTTCACTGGCTTATGAAGAGAAAAATAAGAAAATATTTCTACAAATCAATTTCGATTAAAAATGGCATAGAAGCTGGGGGCTAGGCGGGTTTAGATTATCTTTCTAAATAAGGTTTTGAAAGGTGTTAGCAACATTTTAGTGTTTCCTCCCCCCCTGACCAACCCCTGCTTGTACCAGTCCTTCTGTTTGATTTGCATTTCCTGTTTGTCTGGTAAATTAAAAGCGAAGCAAACGTTTGGTCACTCGTTGTTCTTGTACTCTTTTCATCGCATTTGAAGTAAGTTATACGTGTTAATTTGTATCAATCAGTGCATAAATACATTAGTTACGTGTGATATAGTAGATCTCTTAGTATATTCTAGATAAGATTTACTGTAAGGTTCTACAATACACAGCTTTGATCATGGAAGAGTTRAACTTGTAACTGTGTGATTTGAAAGACTGTAAAAACCTCATTTGATCAAAATATCCAGATAGGATAATGCTGGTAGGATAATGAAGTAAGAATTTGGATTCCAAGCAGTTTAGCTGGGTTGATATCGTCTGTTAGTGAACAGTTTTGATCATCGATCGAAGGATGTTGTAAATATGGGTGTTGGCTGTCTTGTCAAAGTTTCCAAAGTTTTCTTTTCTTCCTTAACTCAGACAGAATCGTACGAATGGTTTATTTGAAACACCAACCCATTTATCAAACGTCTAGGTGTATAATTTCTTAATTTAGTATCGTATTTTAATCTTTTTTTCTCATATATTTATTTGATTTTCTTGACGATCCTGTATGTCGTAGTGTCCTCAGCTAATCAAGCTTTGGTGATTTTCAATTATTCTATAATGTTTTTATTGAACATTTTTCTTGAATCTGTGATATTCTTGGTACCCGATGGCTTCACAAACATTTGGTTTCCAGTTTGCCGTATTTTTTTGACGAATTTAGTGCTAAGATCTACAACTGTTGTAGAATAATACAATACCTAAGAGATGCGAAGGTGTGTGGACAGATCACGAGACTGTAGAGGTCACGCGACCATCTTATGTTACATAGATGAACAGTTTTGATTGACAGCTGATGACAAAGAACTTGAACTGAGTTCAGAATGTAAT